ACCCCTCACGCAATACCTAAAGGAATTGAAAAATATTTTATTTTTATCATACATTTTGTGAAGAGATGAATAGTAATAAATGATATAACTTGATGACTTACTTTGTTGCGTATGGGGAAACGAATGTGTTGTTGTTGACGGGGTTTAGGGACTCCATCCTCCACCAACCCAGGCTTAAAGTAAAAAAGCGCAGCCATAAAATGTACATTTTTCCTTGATTGCATTTTTACACAAGGAACTGTATAGGTGGGCTAAAACAGCAGAACCCCAACTATACTTTCTAGTTTTTTCGAAGTCTCTAAGTAAATTTAAATACATAAAATTTACACTATTTCCCGTACTTTCGGGAAATAAAAAGGTTCCAAATAGTATCATTATATAAGTTCTAGCTTTTATTACCTTGGCTAGCTCGGAAGCATTTTTGTTCAATTCCAGAGTCGCATAATGATTTTTTAGTTCAGTTAGTAGTATACCCTGACCTCTCGCACCACCACCTTCAATCATATCCCTGCCCAATAATTCTTCACACAGATAATTGAGTTGTTGAACCGACCCATTAACCGCCTTACTGTCGACAGGGAGACCCAATAACATGTACAGATCCTCTAGTGTGACGGTACATTCACCTATTGGTAGGTGAAATGTATGGGTCTCTGGTCTCCACCTTTCCAACATTGCAAGTATGAACTTTGAATCAATTACGCAGTTGGAGATCTTTATAACGTTTCCGAAACCTGCGTATTCCAGATATGGTACGATCAATGGGTCGGGAGCAAGGTAGTTGTGTGACCAGATTCTGAATCTTTTGGTATCCTAAGTTAATAATGTAAAAGGTGTAAGAGTAAGTAAGATGAACAAAGCATTACTAGAAGTATGAAAAATGTATAACTATAAAAGAAACTTACAAATGCTGCCATGTTATCCCTTGTGCCTCTGTGAGAATCACCCATTGTGAGAAGAGCCATTGTTGAAAATGCCTGAGATTATGAAAGAGTTTGAAATTGTAAGAGATTATGAAAGAGTTTGTAGCAGAGAGTGAGACGATTGTGGATGCGAGAGAAGTATGTAATGCTCTATATTTATAGGCAAAAAAATTTCATAGAGTAAGTGAGGTGGTAGGTGGTGCATGCGTGCATGCTAAGTGTCACTCTTGCAGTGTAGGTGCAGGCTACGTGGCAGCCTTGGAGAAGGCATCTCTGGCATGCATGTAACACGATTGGACATGAAGGGAGGCGCCATTGGACTTGGAGAAAGAGTACAAAAATAAAAGGTTTCTCCATCCCCGTTGGCGAATAAGAGGTGGCATGGGTTCCAATGTAGGCGCAGGCTAGGTGACAGCCTTGGAGAAGGCATCTCTGAATGCATGTAACACTATTGGACGTGATGGGAGGCGCCTTAAAGGTTACAGTGTAGGTGTGGTGTAGGCGCAGGCTAGGTGGCAGCCTTGGAGAAGGCATCTCTGAATGCATGTAACACTATTGGACGTGATGGGAGGCGCCTTAGAGGTTACAGTGTAAGTGCAGTGTAGACGCAGGCTAGGTGGCAGCCTTGGAGAAGGCATCTCTGAATGCATGTAACACTATTGGACAACCTTGGTTAATTCAAATTCAGTATGACCTATTTAGTCTTACATTTATCAAAACACTGATACACTTAATCTCTCAAACACTAGAACATTCAAAAATTCCAGCAAATAACTCATAAACTTCAAACCTTCCAACCTTCAAACCTTCAAACAGTCATACACAATGGCCTCTGCACCCCAATATGTGATCAGTGCACATTTCAACGGTGAGACATATATTTGTCCCACCTATGGGTTTTTATTTAGAGACACAGAGAACATCTGATTTTGTTTAAACAGGAAAGCCAATTTCTTGTACTTCAAAAAACGATTGGAGGCCAAACTTGGACGAGGCCCCGTGACACAAATATTCTATCAGAATCCGTTTTTTTTTTTAACAACCAAATAATATTTTATAAGATTGAGGTTCAAGATGACGAGGATCTTCAGAATATGTTTTCCAGTCATGAGTATTCTGGATACGACTCTATTGAGTTGTACATTATGCTGCGAGAGCCTCAACTGTCACAAGTGGTTGATCCTTTGCAGATCGAACAAGTAGAAGTAGATGCAGTTGATGAAGAAGAAGAAGATGACGAGTTGGAGTTTGACGAAATGGTCAATGATGATTCCGAAGACGATGGGATACCTGGTATTCCTGCAAACGAGATCTACACGCCACCTCCGCACATGACAAACTTCAACATGGGCGGAGATGAACCGTCCTCTGATTTATTTTTCAATCCATATATGCAGTCGGATGAAAACTTAAAAGAGAAAGACAAATTTCATAACAGAGAAGAATGTATCAGAGCCATCAAAAAATTCCACATGCTCAACTCGGTCGATTTTAAGATGGACCGTGTAAATCCAGAAAGGTACAAGATCAAGTGTGTCCACCCTGATTGTATGTTCAAGCTCACTGCATCATACAGATTAAGAGGTGATTGTTGGGTCATAGGTTCCATGTCTACCCACACTTGTGTCAGTTCTACTCAATCACAGGATCATCGAAAACTTAATTATGATCTCATTTGTCAAGAAATCCTACCACTCGTCAGCAACGATCCATCATTGAAGGTGAAAACCATAATCTCCCACATCACTACGGTATTTAACTATACCCCGTCTTATCGAAAGGCGTGGTTAGCAAAGACCAAGGCGATTGAAAAGGTATATGGAAACTGAGAGGAGTCATACCAAGAACTTCCTCGCTACCTGAATGCACTCCATACTTATTCTCCGGGTACTGTTTACATTCTGGAAACAGTGCCAGCATACGCCCCAGATGGTAGTCAACTCAACGGAAATGGAATATTCAGTCGAGTGTTTGGGCTTTTCAACCTTGCATCACAGGGTTTGCGTCATGCAAACCAACTATGGAGTGAAAGCTGCATGAAGTACATTAAGGCAGAAAGTGCCAAAGCCAACACCCATATGATTATACGGTTTGACTGACACAGCCACAACTTCATTGTCAAAGAGACAATCGACCACAACGAGGGCCTGCCAAGACAAGAATATATGGTTGTACTACCTTCTCGTTGGTGCGATTGTGGCAAGTTTCAAGCCTTTCGTATGCTTTGCTCTCATGTCATTGTCGCGTGTGCCTATACTCATCAAGACGCGCTACAACTTCTGTCACACATTTACAAATCTGAAACATTGCTCAACGTTTACAACAACAACTTCCCTTTGGTAGCAAAACCAGATTATTGACCTGCATACGACGGCGAAATAGTATGGCACAATGACCAAATGCGAAGGAATAAAAAGGGTCGTCCCAAAAGTAAGCGCATCATAACCGAAATGGACTCCCTTGACAGCTGGAAAGAAAGTGTGGTTTATATCGTCAGGTCGGACACAATCACAAAAATTGTCCGAATCGGGCTACTGCCTCAACCACATAAAAATTGTATTACAACAAATATTTCTTTTATTATGTTGTAAACATTAGGGTTTTTCGTTAACAGAATTTTGTTACAATAAACATTGCGCGAACAAGAAAATAAAACACGATAAACCGTCTACGAAATTACAACCGTTAAAACAATTTCATCTGACCCATGCATCATCAACATTACGTCGCTGTCTGTTTTGACTTCCTCCAACCAAATATTAAGTCTTCCTGTCACAAGTGAACAGGAACTTAAAAATTCAACTAATAACCAATAGAGTTGTTTACAAAATATCTAACAAAATCTTTAAAACTACAGCAAAAGTTAGATTCATGTCCTTGGAAGATGGAACAATTTTTGTACAAACTAGACCATGTGTTGAAAAGACAGTTTTGAAAGAAAGGACAGTTTTTGAAAAATGATAACTATTATTCAAAATTATGAACATAAATAGCACATGTTTATGGCATGCATACATATGTGTTCTTTTTTATATCCTTCTCAATAATTCAAAATTGGATTTTCCATTAGCACTATTTCTCAATCTATAATGACAACAGACTTATCATCACATGTTTTTTCACTGTTACGATAGACAATATTTTGTATTGGAAATATATTTTCAAAAATATTTTAGAAATGTATTTCTGAAATAAAATATAATTATAAAATGAAGTGTATTTCAAAAACGAACGAAATGTTTTTGGAAATGTATTTTTGAAAACTGAAAACATTTTAAAAAATCCACGTAGTGCGCTAGAAGGTTATAGAATATGTTAACGAATTTTCAAAATTAAAACACCTCAAAATATTGTGATGAAACACATACACAAATCAATGCATGGGGTGTAATTGAAGATTGAAATCCATACTTCTTTTTTTGTTGCAAAATTGAAGGTATCTCTAATGAAATGATTTTATTGTAAAATGGGTGCATCCAGATTTCAATCTCCAAACGCTATGAAGAACATTCTCGAGTTTCCATAGGGTGTCATGAAATGTAGTGAGCTCATTACTATGAAAAATCTTGGGTGAATTGGGTATTAAAAGTTCATCTAATAACCAATAGAGATTTTTAGAGATTATCCACCAAAATCCTTAAAACTACATCAAAAAGTTAAATTCATGTCCTTCCAAGATATGGAGCCATTTTTGTTCAAACTGGACCAACATGTCTTCGAAAGGACAGTTTTTGAAAATGATAACTTTTGTTCCAAATTATGAACATAAATAGCACACGTTTATGGCATGCATACATATGTAAAAAGTAAAAACACTGCAAAATATTATCCAGAAACATAATGAAATCTGCCCGTTGTATACATTTCTCATGGCATTACATCTAATTAAACAGAAACACTATACTACATACAAAAACTTGTTTGAAACAATAGATACTCGATATAAGATCTTTCTTATTGAACCGTCTCTAATGCACTAGGATCCGGATATGTCGTATTGATCGACTTTGCTCAAGCAACCGCTACATTTCTGGAAGCAATCGTGCAATTTTTTCAAGAAAAATGTAGCACAGTTTGCTAGATGAAAGGAAATAATGCATACTCAGCATAGAACAGATTCCATATGAATCGGTAGAATTCCGATATTGCTTCCTGCAACATATTGTCAGACATTTAGTCAAGCAATAGTGGTGGGAAAAAAATATATAGTAGACGAAATGTTCAATGCTTAGATCTATTTTCTTCTATTCTGTTTCTGTAATCCAGATTTGCATCACCATGTAACTTCCAGAACAAGCAAAGATAGTTCTTAGCAAACTAGTCGTGAAGTCGAAAATCAAAGTTCAATTTCTAAATTTTGAAAACGTTAAATAGTTGCTATGATTAATTTCATACAGAAGATATAAAACATATACCTTTGTGTAATTTGCTTTTTCTAATATCTGCACCTGAAATATAAGAAAAATAAATCGTATTACATCCATTATGTAACAATCAACAACAGGTAGTAATCGGCGCATCAAACCTGGTAAATCAAGCTTGTTGCAAAAATTGTATGAGCTGGAATCAGTAACCATCGCCTGAAAGCCTGTTAAGAGTGCCATATCGTACATAAAGTTTGTTTAAATGATTAGACAATGATAAGTGATTAAGACATGAGATAAGTTAATATTCACCTGTGGCATGTAAATTGCTGCCGCAATGCTAACAACATAGTTCATTAGCAAAATTCCAGCACCGAGGAAAGAAATGTTCCGAACTCCTAATTTTGTAGCGAAGGTCGATATTTGATACCTGTAGTGTAGTTAATTGTTACATGCAATCCATATTACATTACATACATAAAATCAATGAATTTGCAACCGTTAACGCAACTTGATCACAAAATGTACCTACGATCTCCTTCAACATCTGGAAGATCTTTTGTTATAGCAATTACCAATGCGAAAAATGTTACGAAAGTTGTGATAAAAACCACAGAAGAGCTGCAGGTAGATATACAAGAACAAAAGCATAAACATCATTACGAGTTTTGTTCATCATAATTCATAGTTAGTATGAGCTTTAACGAGCCTTTGTTCGAACAATAGGCAACCGTTATCTCAGTTGTTCAAAGCTTCATCAATTACAAAATACGAAACACCAGCGATTAGCTCTTACTCACCTCCACTCAAAAGCAAGTCCAAGAGCAGCTCTAGTAGCATAATACACGCCAAAGTTAAGTAGAAAACCTCGTACCTGTGTAAGTTTCTTTTGTTAGTCGTGTTCATCCAACTAGATTCATCCGAAAAAACTGCGAATTGATTCCAGTAGCAGCTATTTTCTATAAAGACTAAAATGGACAAGTTACATTTAGTACCGCAAAGGTTGGGAGGATCGGAGGTTATATCATACCGTAGCAATAATAAGAAATGCTGCGACAGGAAAGCGTTTCATCCTAAGTGGAGGGACGGAATAGATGGTACCAAGAAAAAGGCCAAGGGAGTAAAGAGAAAAAATGAAGGGTCCAAAGTTCAATCCTACAATCAATAGGCCAGCTGCTGCAAAAAATATAACCAAGAACCATGCAGATTGGACCGAAAGATCTCCTGCAGCTATAGGTAGATAAGGCTTGTTTACCCTGAAAAATGAAATAAAAGAATAACTCAGGACGTGTTTGAATTGACTTATTTGAGCTTATCTCTAGATACCAATCCATGTGAGATTGTACTAGAGAGCTTATGGAAACAACTTATGAAACCATTGTGCAGTTCAACGTCACTCAAAAACAAAATATTGAAACTTGGCAAGAAATGTGCTAAAGGGTATGAAAGAAAGTGAAAAGAATGAATGAGAAAAGGTCAGTAAGAAATAAGACAGTTATCATTATAAGTCGGCATCATACTTGTCAATGCTAATGTCATATATTTGATTGATCCCAACTATATAACCGTTCCCACAAATCAGAGCAAGAAGACCAGAGAACGCTTTAAGCAAAAGAGACCACTTTATCATATTTGAGTTCTCGATCAACGCTCTTGACACCAAAGCACTGTAATGCGAACGAGATAAAATGAAGGTAAGTTCAAGTGTAAGAATCAGCATGTAACTGCAAGAAACAAGTTAGGAAGGTTATCGAGCTACTCACGCAGATCCTAGTGCTGTACCACGTATAGTATGTGGCCTTAAAAATCTCCAGAATGCATCTTTCAAATCTAGAACTTTTTCAGCAAATGGACGATCAGATCCAGCTGCTCCAACTTTGCTGCAGGCCTGCCAGCATTTTAATTTAAACTGTCAAATATCAAACACAACCTGTGTGACCGCACCCCTCTAACTACCACCACCAAGGTTTGAAAACTGAAATTGTGGCAATAATTGTGATCTTTGATATTCTAAAGAATTTCATATAAATTGAGCTAATGCGGCCACAAATACAGTTGCAAAGACCACAAAAACCTTGATGTTGCGACTATAATTGAAACCATGACCACTACCTTTCAATTGATGCCACCATCATTACTTTTTGCTTTTGTTAAATAAAAATAGAATTCAATCACCAAAATTTTCCTAAAAAATCACTAGCAAACAAATAAAAATTGAAGCTTTAATGTAGAAAACAAAAAAACACACCATACCCTTATGGAAATGGGCCTATGTTGTTTCTTTGATTTTGAAACATGAGTTGAGAAACTTGTGTGATGGTGATGGTAAATCCCAATTGAAGGAAGGTGTTTGGAGGTTGTGGACTTGAGAGAAGTGGGTGGTTTGAAAGAGAAGTAGGAGAGGGAATTCCATGTGGGGATTATGGAAGAATGTGAACGAAGAGAAGTTGAATATGAAGAACAAGTAGAGAGCTCCATAAGAAACTGAAGACAAACGTTGTTACTCACAATCTCAAACACACAAACGTTGTTGTCGGAGGAGGAGGAAGTGTTCTTGCTTATGTGGGGTCAAAATCGTTCTACCACTTCTTCAAATCATGTAAAAATAGATAAAACATAAAATGTGGATAAATAGTTTAATTAATATATGTATTAGTTGAATTAAATTTGTTGTAAATTGTTGATATTGGATTCGATTTATAGGTATAGAAAGATGAATAATGTATTAAATATACAATGTATAGGCGTGATAATACTTTTGAGAAAATGCTAGTATGCTTATTCAAATTATTGCATCTTGCCATCCAAAATGCAATCAATAATTGGACATGTAATAACTTCTTGATATTGATCTAACACACTCTTACATATAGTACACCTTTCATAATAAGAGTATTTATTCTTATAAGGGGGTCGGTAATATGCATTCAAACTTAAGGCATCTTCAAGAATTATTTCAACTAATATATATGTTTCTAGATATATAAATTTTAACATGAATCCTAGTTTGTGTGGGGTTAGGGGTTTGTTATATTTAACTTAATTATAAAATTTCATAATAATTAAAATTTTGTGTTTATAACATGTAATCTTCATTCAAACACCTCTTAAGAATTATTTGAATTAATATATATATATATATATATATATATATATATATATATATATATATATATATATATATATATATATATATATATAAAAGAAATGTGAAAGGTTGAGTATTATTAATTTAATCTTTGCAGATGATTTGCTCTTTTTTACAAGAGGTGATGTTGTTTCAGTTGAAATGATGATGAATGTATTTCTTAATTTTTCAAAAGCTACAGGGTTTAGAGTAAATCCTAGCGAATGTAAAATTTATTTTGGAGGTGTTAATGCGAATATAGAGAGAGAAATTCTAGATAGTACTAGCTTTAGTGAGGGACCACTCCCATTTAGATATTTGGGAGTGCCTCTAACATACAAGAAACTATCTATCCATCACTACATGACTCTGGTAGATAAGATTGTGAGTCGTACAAGGCATTGGAGTACCAACCTTTTGTGCTACGTAGGTAGAGTCAAGCTTATAAAAAATGTGACTTTTGCAATTGCTAATTACTGGATGCAATGCTTTCCCCTGCCTAAAAATGTCATTAATAAAATTGAGGCAATTTATAGATCCTTTTTTTGGACGGGTAGGCCGGAGATCAGTCGAGAAAGTCCAGTGGCCTGGGAAACGGTTTGTAAATCGAGAGAGCATGGAGGCCTAAACGTGATAGATCTCAAGTTGTGGAATAAGGTAACTATGCTAAAATTATTGTGGAACCATAGTGGTAAGTCTGATAACCTTTGGATGAAATGGATTCATACATATTATTTGCATCGTGACAATTTGATGAGTGTTGGCATTAAGAATAATAATTCTTGGATAATGAAAAATATGTTTAAAACTAGAGAATACATTATGGAGAATCAAATTGTCTGGCTAGAGTTGCAGAGTAGAAATAGATTTTGTATGAAAGAAGTCTATGGAGGTTTCTGTAAGACCATACCGAAAGTGCGATGGTGTCATTTAGTTCGTAATAATCCAACAAGGCCAAAAGAGCTATTTACTTTATGGTTGGCATGTCATGGTAGATTGGCCACGAAGGATAGGTTGAAAAAATTTGGTATGATCGAACACAGTCGATGTAGCCTATGTACAAAGGAGGAAACTATTGACCACTTACTCTTTGGCTGTAATAAGCTTAATATTATTTGGTCCAGAGTTATGGAGTGGATCCAAATTGAAAGAGAGCCAAAGGAATGGAGAGAGGAATTAGATTGGCTAATTGTGTTCACTCGTGGGAAGAGTAAAAGAGCTACTCTCATGAAGTTGGTTGCGACAGAAACAATTTATGTAGTGTAGAAATACCATAATGATATTTGTTATGGTAATTGCAATACGGTGGAAGAACTGACTTGGGTGTTTTGCGCTTTATCGCAATTGTTACGGATAGCAAGAGTCGCCATCGAATTTTCTTTTATCCAATAAAAGAAAGGATGAAAAGAACAGGAAAGACCTTTCGAGAATTTTCTTAAGTTCGGGGGATAGGTTATGAAAAGGGAAGGTGTTAACACCCTTTACATCCATAGTTATCTACGGGCTCTTAGTTGCTAGCTCACTTTGAAATACTTTGTAAAAATGTGTTTGTGTGGGTTTGAAAGTATTTTTGAAAAGTGTCTTTGTTTAGGCGAACTTTGTAATGATTCTCGTCTCTATAAGAATATATACAAAGTGTTGACTTTTGAAAATATTTCATGAAAGTGTTGATGTGTTTGAAAGATGTTTTATTTTGAAATATTTGTGAGCAAGCAACTACGAGCGTTCTACCTACTCAAAAGGAAGTCTTTGTTTTTTTCCTCCTCCTTTAGATAGTGTTGTTTTACTATTAGTTAGTGAGCAACCTTATCATTGGATGTGAAGGGACGAGTGTGGATCGTCGTACAGTCATAGAAGGCAACATTGTGAGATACCTTAGCAATTTGTCGTAAGGGTCTAAGATAATTTACCGAAGGCAACATCGAAGGATCATTGAGGGACTACGATCTTGTAATCGAGGATCTTTGCTAAAGTATCCCACATTCGAGGAACATGACTATTTTATTCTAAGGCAACAAGTGAGGGTTAACCCTAGAGGTGCAAGTGTGAGAAGTGTGTTATTTTTATTTTATTTGTCTTGAATTAGGGTTGTCTATGGTTTGGTTTTAATTCTTGTCATACAAACCCTAATTACTAGCAATAATATTGAAAGCGATAAATTGCGGAAATTAAAAGTCCTACGTCATTACATCATTTTAGGGGATGGAGATACAAATTACAAATGGGGATGAAAGCAATTAAAACTAATTATTATTACAACTATATTGAATAATTCAAAAACAAAATAAAATATGCAAGAACATAAAGATAATATAAAAGAAGAGAGAATTGTTTTTTTTTTTTGTGGTTTTGGATGGAAGAAGTTTTAACCTAACTAGTTAAACTAAATTAAATAGAGAGAAGTTAATTAATTAAATTCCTAAATTCTAAGTTAACTTAATTAAAAAGGAGCAAATTAAACTTAAACCTAAGTCTAAATCTATTTTAATTAAATTAAGAAAAGAATATATTTTTGTTTTAGGGTTTTATGTTTGAAATAAATTAAAGTAAAACAGAAATAAAATAATAATTTTAGTCTAAGTATTTAATAAAGTATTTTTTTAAATATTTTTTAATTAGAAATAATAAAAATAATAGTATTAAAAGGAAATAAAATAAAATAAATGAAAATAAAAATTGAAAGTCATGGGGGTTAGAAAAGGAATGTTGGAGGTTGGAGAGTAAAAAAAATAGTTTTATGTTTGGTTTAGGCCAAACTGATTTTTTTGTATAATCAGAAATAACAAGAGGTATGCCTTACGCGCGCTTGCTGCCACTGGGGTGGCCTATACATTCGGTATAGAAAAAAGTTTCAATGTGTGATACGGTGGCAGAACCGACTGTTATACTGGTTTCACGTTTGTATTCGAAAATGTTGCGGTAAGCAAGAGTCGCCACCGACTTTTCTTTTATCCAACAAAGTAAATGGTGAAAAGAACAGAAAAAGACCTTTCGAGATTATTTCTGAGTAAGGGGGTAAATTATGGAAAGGGAAGGTCTTAGAACCCTTTCCATCCGTAGTTTTCTACGGGCTCTTAGATGCTTAGCTCGTTTTTTGAAATACCTTGTGCTTTTGTGTGTTTTTGAAAAGTATTTTGAAATTTCCTTAGTGCGGCGATTCACTTCTCTTGTATCAGTCCTCAAGAGTGTTGACAAAGTGTTTTTGAAAGTGTTTTGAAATGTTTTTGTGTAGGTGTAAAAAGTTTGTTTGATCAAGCATCTAACAACTATCTACTTTACTCGAAAGGGTCGTTCTTTTCCTCCTTTCCTTTAGACAAGACTATCCTACTATTAGTGAGTAAGTAGCCATAGTCGCTTGGATGTATGAGGGACATTCGTGGGTCATCGTACAATCATAAAGCAACATATATAGACGCTTTAGAAATTTTATTTAAGGTACTAGATCATTATCGAAAGGCAACACTGTAGGATCATCGAGAGACTATGATCTTTTGATTCGAAGGTCTTTGCTAAAGCGTCCCTACTTTCGAGGGACATGACTGTTTTATTTTTCGTAGGCAACCAAAGTGGGCATACCCTAGAGGTGTATATGTGCAGATGTGTTGTAATCAGTTATTTTTGTCTTTTTTGTTAAGTTTTCTAGCATTTTGTTTTATTAGTCTTATCATGCAATCCTATTAACATACATCTAACAGTCAATATGTACAGGGATAAAATGCGGGAATTGTAAATCCTATGCTATTACAAAGCTTCGGGGATGGGGATTATTACATGTCCAAACTTTGGGGGGAAATAAAGAAAGCAGTAAAAATAAAGGAGTCCTAATTACAGTCTATTACAACCAGGAAGAAGATACAATAATATAATATAAAAACGTTTTTGTAGGCAGGAAGCCTGCAACTTCGATTGGTAATAAGTATTATGTATCATGCAATGTCTGGCTGGTAGTGTGAGTGTGGCAAGAGTGTTTCTTTCTTTTTTATGGTTTTTTCTCCGTCTAACAATGTATCCTTAGGCCTGTATTTATAGGGATGTGATATGTATGGAAATGGAAAGGAACGACCATTAACTAGGCTTTGAAGGCAAAATCAGACACATCAAAATATTTCCATTTTGAGGGATTCCTACCCTTTTGGGTCATGGGATGAACCTGGACATGTTTGACTCCTTCGAATACCCCCAATCTTTGCTCTTAAATTGGCCCAGGGTTGCCTCCTTTGAATGACTCAAATTCTCATCATTGGGACTTCTTCGATTGAGCCCCTATTTGTCTTGGTAGCTTGATCTGAAGCTAGCCCAAACGAAAATTCCTTTTTGGCCAGTCAAAACTTCTCTTGTTACCTCCTTCAAA